AGAGACTGAGTAGATTGGGATTATATTCATTGGAATTCAGAAGATTGAGGGGGGATCTTATAGAAACATATAAAATTATGATGGGAATAGATAAGATAGAAGTAGAGAGGATGTTTCCACTGGCAGGTGAAGCTAGGACAAGAGGGCATAGCCTCAAGATTAGAGGGAGCAGATTTAGGACTGAATTGAGAAGGAATTTCTTCACCCAGAGGGTTGTTAATCTATGGAATTCCTTGCCCAGTGAAGTAGTTGACGCTACTTCAGTAAACGTTTTTAAAAAAAAGGTAGATTTTTTTTTGAACAATAAAGGAATTAAGGGATACGGTGAGAATACGCGTAAGTGGATCTGAGTCCACGAAAAGATCAGCCATGATCTTATTGAATGGCGGAGCAGGCTCGAAGGGCCAGACGGCCTACTCTTGCTCCTAGTTCTTATGTTCTTATGTTCTGTAGACAGTTTGCCATACAGCATGTTAATGACTGCTCAAAGTTCAGCTGAATTAATCAGACATGATCTATCCATTCACAAGTCCATATGAATTTTTTGGACCAGCTAGTAATTGTACAAACACTCAGTAACTCTGTTTCTGAAGATAGGTTTGGGTAACTTCAATTGATGTCAAGTAACAGATCTATTGTTGTCTGATTTTTCTCCCTCTCTCCCTTTTTAAATAAGGGAGTGATGTGCAGTTTTCCAATCCAATGGAATAATTCCTGAATATGACTGAGGAAAAGTTCCCACCTCTTTTTAATGATGTGCGTGGAAACTTCCTGGAGATTTGACAATCATAAATGCCATTTCTTTTCTCTACTTCCATTTTTAAAAATTATAGAGACTACATTCCATGCCACACATTTTTAGGTTCTGTTATATTGTTGGTGCTTTGTTTTTATCCTCTAATGAAATGAACAGAAAGTAGTTGTTCAAGTCTGCTATTTCCTTCTTATCAATTTTATCCTCTGCTGCATTTGCCATTAATGGAACAACATTTCTCTTTACTTCTCTCTTTATAATATATACAGTCTTTTACTGTTGGCCTCTTTCTCTTGCAAGATTTTTTTTTTCACATTCCCCTTTCGCACTTTAATTTTGTTTTGTCCTTTGTTCCTTTTTTTTTAATAGCTTTCATTTGTCCAGATTTACAGGTAATGTGGGGCAGTTAACTTACACTGCTAAAAGAGGAAGATTTTAGTTTTTTTTGTGAATGTTTTTGGAAACATTAGCGTTCTAGATTGATTCAGATTACAGGAAGAAAACTCAGAATCCTCCTTGACTTAGATGGTATACAACCTGATGCCGGGTGGAACTACTTGCTGACAGATCAACAAGGATTCAGTGCTGTGTAGAAATAGAGTGAATGGGCCTCCATGTAAAGGACAGTGAATTAAAGTATAATTGTATTCTATCTTGCTTTTTATTCCTACATAATGAAGTCAGAAAACAGTGATCCAGAAAAGGCGCATTAGTTCCTCTATGTTGCCTGACCGTGCTGTTTTGTCTTATGCCTATGGCTCGCCTTTTTTAGAAACTTAAAATTCTGAACAAATGCTCCAATTGTTTCCTCTTCAGTGCTTAAAAATAAGTGAATTTAACTCCGAAGTTCCGGTATCAAATTCTAACTGGTTGTCTTTCATATGTCACATACCTATTTCTAACCCAACAAGACAAATACCCTATCATTTTTCTGAAGAAGGGTCTAGGCCCGAAACGTCAGCTTTGCTGCTCCTCTGATGCTGCTTGGCCTGCTGTGTTCATCCAGCTGTACGCCTTGTTATCTCAGATTCTCCAGCGTCTGCAGTTCCTACTATCTCTAAGACAAATACCGTATCATGTTTGATGAGATGGTTGATTTGTCTTACTGTTCTGATCACTGTCCGACTCTTTTCCAAGTAGATATTTGTCTTTTTATAAGAAGGAGTTAATTGATAGCTAAATTTTGTGAGATTCTGTTCCACAGACTCTAATGCCATCATGAGAAGGTCATAAGCAGATGCCCTGCTAAATAGACAAAATAAAAGTCTTCTGATATTGTCTCTTTTTAAATCACATGGCTTACTTATTGAGATATCAGATGTGCCTCTCAGCATATTCGATACCTGTACCTAATCTTCCTCATTTTTTTCTGTTACCATCGAATCAGAGAATGGTCACCGCACAGAAGGAGGTCATTCAGCCCACAGTTAACTTGTGTAACTATCAGTTGGGGAACCTTTGCCTTTTTGTTTAGTAAGTTTTCTTGTAATACATGATATTCAAAATTGTCTCTCTGTTTTCTTTATAGGACACTAGGTATTGCAGTATAATTAATTGATTTAACAGTATGATTCATATTACAAATTAAGGAAAGAAAAATTTATCTGTCGGCACCTAGGGTTATGGTTTTATGATCTGGAACATTTGAGGCTTTCTAGAAGATAAATGAAGTAAATCATGGTGTAATTCTGATTTGAGCTTGAACCCACGTAGAAAGGATTTTGGTTCATTAGGCTCATGCTTAATTTATTCATTCATGGGATGAGGGTTCTAATTGCCCAGAGGGCAGTTCAGAGTCAACCACATTGCTGTGGGTTTGGAGTCACATGTAGGCCAGACCAGGTAAGGATGGCAGTTTCCTTCCCTAGAGGACATTAGTGAACTAGATGGGTTTTTCCAACCATCGACAATGGATTCATGGTCATCATTAGACTCTTAGTTCCAGATATTTGTTGAATTCAAATTCCATCATCTGCCATGGCGGATTCGAACCCAGGTCCCCAGAACATTATCTGGGTCTCTGGATTAGCAGTCCAGTGATAATACCACTAGTCCATTGCCTCCCCATAATGCTGTGTCATAAACTGCTATGAATTGACTTTGAATTTGTTCAGAGTTAATGGCATGGTGGTCTGCAAGAATTTCTTCTGAAATGTGAAATTCTTTGGAAGTTGTCTTACAATTGTTGCAGTGCAAATGCAACTAATAAGACAATCTTGTTTTCTTACTACCAAATCAAATTTAAACACAGACTTATGTTTAGCTGTTTAATACTGCTGTCTTGTCATGGCTGGTATCAAAAAAGACAAACTGCTAAAATAAACTTGATCATGAAAACAGATTTCCTGTTCTTCAATTTTAAGCCTCTGTAAGAGTGAACTTCTACAGGCTGTTAATAAGCATGGTGCTATTTTGAAAATTAATGCACTTTCCACAAATCCAGCTTGCCTAAATATAAAGAAAACGTTAAAAGTTAACAGTGATACTCAAGATCACTTCTTTGTGTTCCCTAAAACAAAATGGTGTTTAGAAATTCACCTTCTGGAAATAAATTGCACATTGTAGTTCTTTAATATAAAGCATGGTGAAAAATGTAACTTTTCCACTCTCACCTTTCATCTTGTAATTGAAATATGTGCATTCCGGGCACATATGATGTATGCAACATCAAACTCTTTCCTTTATTACTGTCAGCAAAGTGTACTCATTGCAAAATAAATGAATACTTTTGGCTACAATGAGATCAGTTCTTTTGATTGAAAGTAGATTATGAAATATAATTGTACTCACTGCTCTTTAGATTCTTGCCCACTAAAGCATAAACTGCCCAAGCATTGTCTCTTCTTTCATTTAAGACACTTAATTTAAAGTTAGCCAGTGAATTTTTAAGTCCAGGGCCAGAGTTGCAAGTGTATAAGTTTATAACAATCTGCTTCTTAGTGTAGTATTTAATGGGGGGGGGGGCGGGGAGCGCAGAGGTCTGAACCCTGCATTGCCTCTTTTTGTGATTTAAGTGCCTCCTGAGGTATTTGAGTGGCCAGCTGCAGGCATTGCCTTGGACGAAGGATCTGGGTTGGGGATCTGGTCCCCACTTCCACTGAGAGCTACTGTCTGATTTGAGGACAGCAGCAGTGCATCACTAGTTAGCATCACCAGGGAAATGCTGGCTGCTGGTAGCAATACACCCACCAGAGATTCAATGAGGGACTAGAGGCACAGGTGAGTAATGGGATAGGGTTTGTGAGGGACTGGGGTTTAACATGGACAGTGGATGGATTTCCATGGTCCTATCCCCATATCCCAAGCCAGGTCCCTCAATAATTAGATTGAAAACAAAAAACTATGGGTGCTGGAAATCCAAAACAAAAAACAGAACTCTGAAGAAACTTAGTAGGTCTGGCAGCATCTGTAGAGAGTAAAACAAAGTTAACGTTTTGAATCCAGTTCTGATGAAGGGTCACTTTCTGTTTTTGCTTGCCCTCTAACTAGATGGAATGCCTTTTGAATTAGGCACTCCCTGTGGGATCTGTTGGCTCATTTAAAGATTTCCATTGAACTGGGATAGGAGGATTAGTGCATTGGCAAGTCCAAACCCTAGAATTATTTGAGTCAGAAACAGGATGGCAGTTGGGTACCATTTGCTGCCACTTTGTCCAAAATGTTCCTTGCCTCCAAACCTGCCTTGGGGGTGCGATACATTCCCCACAGTTTCCATTATTATTGTGTTCTTTTTTAAAACTTAAAGCTGTTACATAAAATGAAAGTTATTAGTTAAGAACATCAGTAATTGTTAAATTTCTGCTAAATAAGTTCAGCTAAAGATATTACTGCTTCATGTAAACACATTTGGAGTTAGCAGTACCATAAGCTAGCTGGTAATTCTTGAAAATGGACCTTTTGTTCACTCAGGTAAAAGAACATGTACAGATTTACCTAATGGATTTTCAGTGACATAGTAGTTATTTAAAATGTGTATTTTGATAATTGGATTCTGTGTAGGTTCTTTACTCTGTTTGTTGAATTAATTATGCCATAAGACGCTAGTTCTTTCCATATAACCCTACAAGCAAAAGGTACAACATAACCCAACACATTACACTGGTGGGGACAAGGATGGTACAATTTGCACTGAGTTGTACATGCTCTTACACATGAATGTTGCGAGGAAAATTAGCTGTTCACAATTAAGAGAAAAAAATTCAATTAATTTTGTTAGTAAACTTCTTTTTATTAATATTGTATACAGGCCCTCTAGTGGGAAGTGACTGTGTGCTTGGACCAGTAGATGAATCTCATCCAGTTAAAACTTTGCTGGAGAGTTTTACTGTATCATCCGGCTGTGCAAGTGGAGGAACGACGGGTCTTCCTCGAGAGGTGCACATTATCAATTTGAAAAGTACCGGAATGGATCCCAATCACCATGACAAAGGAAAAAGTACTGGTGTAGACTCCAGCAATTATGATGAGGTAAATTTCTTATATTGTTATAATTATTGAAGGAAAAGTGAAAAATATATGATATTGCACTTCCTTCATTCTACTGTTTGAAGTTGTGCCATAGTTTCTGTTTATATAATAAATGTATTCTGAAGGATGTGGTTACCAGTAAGATAACTTCTAGTGTGCTTAATGTTACATGTCAGAAAAGCTTCCTTTGCTTAACTGCTGCTGAAATCCTGCTCCTTCCTTTGTTGCCACTAGCCTTGACTATTCCAGCACACTCCTGGCCAGTCTCCCATTTTCTACTCTCCATAAACCTGAGTTCATCTAAAACTCTGCTCTCTGCAGTGCTTCTTGTGTTAGGAACAATGCATAACTTTAAGCTGAATTTATATTTTTGTAATGTTGAGTGTTAAGAAAGTGGAGGCCAGGTTTTAGTTTCACTTTTAGAAATGTTCTTGTGCGCTTAGTGCTGAGAGATCTGGAGGCTTGTTTTTCTGAATGCCTTTTATGCCTTTCCTTTATAACTGAAATAGGAATGGGGTTGAGAAGGTTAGTGCATTAAAGTAAAATTAGAGAATAAAACTGCTGTTGCTTCGGGAAATACAGGAAAATTCAAAAGGGATCAGCCACTCAGCGGGTTTATATGCCAAAGTGTGGAGACAGTGATGTTACCCTCTTGAGTAAAATTACTGTGAGACTGATAGACATTGAGTTTAGAGAACTCTAGTATTTGGTCTGACATTAAAGTAATATTGAGTTTAGTTTACAGTTTGGCTGTCTCCGGGAGAGCTAGCAGCTTAAGAATAAGCATCTAGTGAATGTGCAGAAATTTACAGGAAGGAAACCAGCTGAACTGTGCCAGCCTGAGCAACAAACTTTTTATAGGGAGATAACGGGAGATCTTTGGAGCTTTGGTGTTGGAAAGGATATTGCTGGGATAAAAGGAGTAATGAGAGTTTGAATCCTTTGCTGGTGTTTCAAATGACATTTTTCCAGCCATTTTGTCCAGTGCAGTGTGGCTCATGTTTTTCTGGTTTAATAAATGTTTTATTCTGTGCTAAAGTAGATGGGCAGATTTTTGTGAATGTGTTCAGTAACTGACCTGCGTAGATTTTTAAAGAAAACCAAAAAGCTAAAGCCTGAAACAATAACAGAAATTGCTGTGTAAAGTCAGCAGGTTTGGCAGCATCTATAGAGAGAAAGCAGAGTTGACATTTTGGGCCCAGTAACCCTCCTTCAGAACATGTTCATCATCAGAGTGGAGGGTCAGATAGTTTAGTAAATACATGACAGTGAGGGGTTAGCATGGTTAGGAGAATGGATGGAGTCAAAGGAAAGGGAACAGGAGGAAGGTTCTAAAGGAGCGCTGGGTATCTCTAAGTTGTAGCATCTTGCATTCTTTAATGCCTGAAAGGAAAAGAAAATGTTTTTTTGTTAGTGTGTCAAATGAGCCAGTGGGTGAAGTGGAAATGGAGGAGGGGTGGAGGCAGGGGCCAGGGCCAGGGCCAGGGCCAGGGCAGCTCTGAGCCAGTGCAAAGGGTGCTGATGGAGAGAGAGGTTGAGAGTGTACACATAGTGATGCACTGAGTGTGGAGGAGGGTCACTAGACCCAAAACATTAACTCTGTTTTCTCTGCACAGATGCTGTCAGACCTGCTGAGTTTTCCTAGCAATTTCTATAGTTGTTCCTGATTTCCAGCATCTTTGTTTTTTTTTTGTTTAAAACTGAAGCCTGTCAATGCAGGTTTCAGTCTGGGATCTGACTTTTCGAGAACAAACTTCAGCTGGGATCATTAATTTGCACCAAATCCTTTTTTACTTGTTACCCTTTGCTGATTAATATTAGCTTCAAGTCCAGCAGTAGCTCCATTTAAAAAAATTCTTGTTTTCAGACTTCTCCATGACGTGGCCCTTTCAACCTCTAACCTCCTTCAGCCCTGCAATCCTCTGAGATGTTTGTGCTCCTCTACTTCTGGTCTCTTGTGCATCCCTATTTTTCCTTTCGCTACCTTTATGAGCTAAAAGCCTAAAAATTTGAAGGCATGGCTGCTAGAGTTCCCTTCCTAATCTACTGCTCTCTACCTCTCTTTCTTTCCTCCATTTAAAGAAATACCTTGAAACAAACCTTTTCAGTCAAGGTTTTGGTCATTTGTCCTATATTTCCTTGAGTTCGGTGTCACACTTTCTTTGAAAACATTTCTGTGAAACACCCTGGGTTGTTTAACCATGATAAATAATCTACGAATGAAAGTTGCATTAGACATTTTTTAATAATATGTGATAACCTGCAGTAGTAGGACAGAATGCCATTTGTTGTGAATATTTAGAGTTTAAAAATTTTCAGCAATACTATTTGCACAATTCTAAAATGATTTGGACTATATTCAAACAGGAGGAATGATCTCTGTTAGAAGGTTAGGACTTTGCCTTAGTTATTTGTCAGGTTGAGTGAGTGGTGGGCAAGTACTCACATCACCACTTTCACACGTGCCCCCAAAATTAGCAGTCCACCAACTTTATGTAAATAATTAATTGAGGATCAGTCATCTCTCCCAGCAATAATACTACTATTTTTCCACTTCCTCTTCAGTACTGCCTCATATTCTCCCTGAGTTCTTGTTGACATGGAACCGACCTCTTATTCGCATTCGTCGGCCATCTGACCATTCAGCTTTACTTACTGGCCGTTATACAAGCTGAGGGAGTAAATTGTTCACTTTGTAAATGTATGAATATATAAAATTGAACATAATACTTCTCCAAAAACATTTACCTTTGAAATTTGGTTTCTAAATATTGAAAGCATGATACAACTTGATTATTTGGTTGTGTTACCTCTTGTCATTTCTGGTTAACTAGTTGTGAGTGTAAGAGGGGACATCCAGTGACTTCTGGAGAGACACCAGCAAATTCAAGTTAGAGTAAGCAAAATGGCAATGTAGTGTGGATTGCCTCTTATACCTCCTTCTCAATAATTCCATTGACTTCAATAGAACTGATTATTGTGCCCTGCATGTAAAGTGGGCTGACCTGCTATGGTCCGCTTGTTGTTATCATTGAAGGCTAATTTGATTGGAGCTGTGACTACACCATCCCGGTTTTTCTGTCCTGAGTGCACCTGACTACAAAGATTAGGTGAAGGAAAAACATAGTTTAATAAAAAGAGACACCTGTATACTTAATTTATTTTTGTCTTATTTGTTCAAGAATTGTTCTTTATTTCACATAAACATTTTTAAAATTTCCAGATCATTTAAAGAAACTTAGATAAATTCAATAACTGTTGATTTAGCTACATCCCTCCCCTCTGGCAAATTTCCGAAGAGTGAAATATAGTGGGAGTAGTATAGCTAAATACTTAACAGCATTTGCTTTGAATGGACAAGGGACAAATGATACGTTCACCTAGCCACATTGGTTCTTTCAAAACTACACCAGCGGTATACTGCATCTTTTTTTTCTTCTTCTGTACTTTTGTAGTTTTATAAGTTGTATTAAGTTAACAATGATATTATAGAACTTGCAACTAATACAAGCTATGTTAAACCCTCGGTGTTTGTGTCAACTTCTGAGGTTATCCTTGATTTTTTGTTGGTAAAGTGTTACTACTTGGGAAATAAAATTATTTTGATATGTTGCATCCGATCTACAGTACATGCATAGAATTTACAACCAAACAACAGACATTTTGGCCAAACTCTGTGCCTGTGTTTGTGCTTCATATGAGCATCCTCATGCCTTTAATTTATCTAATCCAATTAGTATATCATTCTAAATCTTCCTGTCTAATATACTTCCTTAATCCCCCTAAAGTGCACCTAAGCTATTCACCTCAGTTACTACTTGCAATAGCAAGTCCTGCATTTTCACCACTCCTGGATAAAGAAGATTCTTCTGAATTCTGTTTTGGATTTAATAGAGATGGTTGCTGCATCGTCAATATATGCTTGCTGCATAAGTAGCCTTAGACATAAATGAAATTGTTTTCTCTTCTAAATTAGCAGGGCACAAATTTGAGCCCTTTTGACTATATGCCGCCAAATAAAGGTTATAAGCTAAAATATCCATTTGTATGCAAGATTTGGCATTGCCACATTGTAACATGGTTCTCTTCTTCATGGTAACATATTGCGATACTTGGCGTCGCTTGTCTGCTTCCTTTGTTCTACCGTTGTAATAACATAGTTTGCAATGACTGGTGTTCCTGTCCTTAGAATGAACAGGAAATTGTGAAGTTGGATATTGGCTACTGGACAGAGCTGAGGAGTGTAAACAAAAATATGTAGATCTGAATTTGCTTTAAGGTTGAGTGGTAAACAAAGTTCTGCAATCAGCATTGCTGTAAATACCACCTCCTTTGACTTTAATATGAGACTTAATTCCAGATTCTCACTTGACCAATGATATATGTAACAAGAAATTTACATGGTTTCTGACACCTGTTATACTACTCATAGTCATTTTTTATGGGGAAATAATTTGGAATATCTGGGTTTGAGATCCGAAATAAGCATGATTAAAAATGCTGTTTCCATTTTCATAATGTACCTTGGTTAGTAACTGACAGCAATCCTCTTGACCAATCATACTAAAACTATTTTCATGGAGGTGTGGAATAGCTCTTAAAATTAAGTTTAAAGAGATTAGTTCACTTTCAGGTTACTTATGCAAGATTTGGAAATGTTGCTTGAGGATTTTTCTTGATTGCAGAATGCACTTACAACATAATAGTTAGTGTAGATTCTTTTCAGAATGAAAAAAGTAGCGATTTAAATCCTATTTGCAGTACAGTAAATTAACAATGCACCTTGGCATTGATAAATGCTATAATTTGGGGTTTGATATGTGGTTGTATTTTTCTGCCAATCCTGCTGGCAGATTGCCCTATTGCTTAAATGTTTGAATTCCAGCATATTTTTTTCACTACAGGATATACTTAAAAATGTATGCTTAATCATCTAGCAAAGATGTGTTGTATGTCTCTGTAAAGTTTTGAAAATATTTTCAATTTTTTCTTAATCCTTA